CTGCCGTGGTATCTGTTTTATTTTGTTCTTTGAGGTTTAATGTTCCAATAATATCTGCTTGAAAAACTGATAAATTATAATTCATAAAGTATTTGGATCATTAACTTCTTTATTTTTTAAAAGATTTTATTTATTTATTTTTAGAGAGAGACGAAGGGAGGGAGAAAAAGAGGGTTGCCTGTAACACACCCCAGCTGGGGACAGGGCCAGCAACTTAGGCATGTGCCATGACCAAGAATCGAACCGATGAACTTTTGCTTTGCAGTATGATGCTCAACCAGTTGAGTCACGCCAGTTAGGGCTGGATCACACTTCTTACACTCGGATTCCTCTGTGCCTAAGTCTGAGTTTCAATTTTTTTTATTTGACTGTAATGTTGGCTGGCAAAAAGAGGAACAAAAATCTAAATACAGAGGTAGGAGGAGAATCAGGAGACCATAGTGGTATGGAAGTCATGGAATGAAAGAATTTTAGATGACATTACTGAGATTCTTTTTAACAAAATGATAACTGAAAGAATATAGGCTTCAGCTAGTGATGATTTTTTTAAAAAGTTTCTGAATGGATGAGAATAAATAATGGAAGTTTCTGGGAATTGATTATCTGGGAATTGAGAGAGAGAAAAATGGATGTACTCTGAAATGCTAACTAGTAGTAAATAAGTTAGATGTTCACATATCTAGGTACTTCTAATATATTGATTATGAAAATGCCAAAACAGAGCCTCGTGCCGCCCTCAACCTTTCCCCGCCAGGAATGAGCAAAGCATGCCCTGTACTAACTGAGGGTAGGGAAAGAAGGGATGACTATGTGGAAGAGGCATTTCAGTAGCTTAAAGAAGTTAATCTTTGAGGTGGATACAGTTGAGTAAATGCCTACTAAATTGGACATTTTGTCTCATTTAATCATTACATCAAACTTGTAAAAGCAGCCCATTATGTCAGTTTTACATATGCAAAAACAATGAGGTATGTATCATTCATTGGTGATTTTTTTAAAAGATTTTATTTATCGTATTTTGCTGTGTATAATGTGTACTTTTTTGCCCAAATTTTTGAGGGAAAAATAAGGATGCTCATTATACATGGGTAGTACCTGAAATACCTTGCGACTGTTCTTGTGTTTTGTAATTATTTGTTACATAAAACTTCTTGTACCATAATGTGTTAAAAAATAAGTATTAAAATTCCTTTATAATATAAAAAACAAGTACCTAAATAGAAATAAAAAATTGAATTAAAAAATTAAAATGAAAGATTTTTTTCCTCTGGCAAAGTTGGGACCAAAAACGTGGATATGCTTATCCACAGGAGCACATTATACACTGTCAAATACAGTATTTTTAGAGAGAGGGGAAGGGAGGGAGAAAGAAAGGGAGAGAGGTTGCCTCTTGCACATCCCTAAATGGGGACCTGGCCTGCCACCCAGGCATGTGCCCTGACTGGAAATTGAATGGGCCACCCTTTGGTTCACAGGCCAACACTCAATCCACTGAGCCACACAGGCCCGGGCTAGAATATGATTCTTAAAATAAAGGTTTGTGATGCTTTTGCTTAATGTTTTATTTTCCAAATCTGATGTATTGTTCTGGGTTCATCTCTTTTGATTTTATAACTTTCCTATATGGTAAGGTACCAGCTTAATTTGCTAAACTATGGTTCTAGTTAGGTCAGAAACCCTGTTAGAAGGCTTACAAAAGAAAATTCTGGGATCTGGGAAAGGGAAGGGAAACTCAGAAGCATAGGTCATGTTATGTGGATGCTATCATTGGGTGGGATGAAGAGAAGAATATTGAGGTAGGTCAGGCACTGAAGTAGTCATCTTGTTTTGACTCTTTAATAAATGGAGCAGGAGATGCCTTTCTAGGGAGGGGGGCAGCCCTAGAGAAAGTCCTGGGTGGGCATGAGAAAGTGTAATTCCTGGCAAGTAGCCCAAAGAGAGAAATAGGAAATAATTTTGTGAAATCAGAGGAGATAGATAATATTAGTTAGTGCAAAGGAGTCTTAGAGACATTTAGCAAAAATGAAAGAAATAATAAGTAGTACTAGAAATTAACATTGACCGGCCACTCAAATTGAATTCTAGAGAAAGGAGAGTTTGGGTACAGGAACTTTAAAATATTAATGTCTTGATGGGAGCATTTACTCTGATTATAGTTTACAGCCAGCGTTTCTCCTTTATAATAGAACAGGCTTTTTATTATTTGCCTATAATATTTCTTACATGTCTACATCTTCATTCTTTGATTTCTCTTGATGTCTGAGCATCTTCTGATTGTTGTTTTTATTTCTTAGGAAGGACCTTGTCTGGAGAGTCTGCCTGGTATTGATGACCATACCAGATGTAGCTCTCATTTTAAACATTAAGTTCCTTATTAGTTAAAAACAGTTTGTGAGAATGATTCGTGTTTTTTTGGTGTAGTCAACTATGGACAAAATGGTTGAATTAGAGTTTCTGGACTAGCCAAATCTTCACAAAGTGCAGCTGTTTTCTCAAATGTCCTACAGGAGGTAGGATGGTAGTACAAAAGTGAGGCAGAGGGAGACACCTTGCAAGAGGGAGGAGGGCTGGAGGTGAAGAGAGAGCTAAAGAGAGAGAGAGGAGACCTGAGAGAGTGAGCTAGTGAGCAAGGAAGTGGTGAGAGAGAATGGTGGGTGGGAAGATAGGATAGTGGAGATTGCTACAAGGGGACAGTGGACATATTTAAAGGTAGGGGGAAGAGACAGTGGAAAGCAAAGACAGACCAAAGGAGCGTACTTTCAAAGCCTACAGCAGAGACAGAGGCAGTTTTATCTGGGGGTAGAAACTTCCTGTGGCTGCCTAGGCAGCTTGGCGATGGAGGAAGGATCTTGCTCTTTAAATTGGAAGACCTGGATTTAGATCCTAGTAATGCCATTTAGGTCCTCATTCCTACTTAAAAATGGTTAGGGAAGTCATTTCTCCAAGGCTCTGTTTTCTAATCTCTTAAATGGGAAATGACATTTAAGTTTTGATGATTGCATAAATATGTGTATTGCTTGTTTTGTCTTTGCCTAGCCCTCCTGCATTTTCCTTTGGAAATAATAAATAGAATTTCCAATGTTCTTGGTTAAAACTATTTGTAGATTTTTGGAAGAAATATCTAGCTATAGTTACTAAGTGTATGATTAGAGTCCACAGAAAGAGTCAAGATACAGTGCTTTATGCATTTGATTTACATGCTTTGTAAATGTTTACTCTGACCTGAAGGCTCAAAATGTAGACATATGTAGAGTTACCAGCTAACATCCTGTCTTTATCCTCACACACCCCTTTATTTTTACTCCGTATAGTTTAGGAGCTTACTCAGTATGCTTACCTAAATAAACACTTTAGAGTATAGTCGTATCTTCTTTTTCAAGGTCTTTTTCAAACTTTTACCACAATAACAAGCCTTGTCTCTGTTCTTATGGCTGAATTTTAGCTTCATTTTGAATTTTATAAATTTATATTTTTAGCAAGCATCCCAAAGCTCTTACATCTTAGTGACCCCGTGTGTCACCTGTAGCATAGTATCAGCTCTGAGTTTTGAAAATAATGTGATTTAAAACAATGCAACTGTATTTTTATGTCATGCCAGTTGTTAAATTAAGATTATTGGGTGATATACAGGTAGCATGTTAATAAAATCCTTAAATTGGTTCCCTGAGCTATATTGTGGTTCATGCTTTCCATACTCTTCCTTCTCCCTGCCTGGCCCTAGCTTGACCTTCTTTGCATATGCCCACTGCTGATAATTGTATGCCTATGTTGGGAGGCAGTGATGATCAGATGATGGGGTTTGAGAGAGTCCTGCCTCAGGTAATCAGCAGTCTTTCTCAGGTAGGCTTAATAGCTTTCTTCATTTTTTTAAATTGCTTTTTAGAGAGAGATAGAGATAGAGATAGATTTGTTGTTTGACTTAATTATGCATTCATTGGTTGTTTCTTGTATATGCTCTGACCAGGGATCGAACCTGTAACCTTGGCATACTGAGACAATGCTCTTACCAACTGAGCTACCCAGCCAGGATGAGAATAGCCTTGCTCTTTAATAAACAAGGAACGGTACTCTAACCTAAGGCAGCAGAGGTGGCTTGCTGCTGGAAACTGAGAGGAGCAGCAGATGACAGCAAAGTGTTTTTGAATTTTGATTGTTTTTAATAATCTGTTTCATATTTCAGCCTAATCTTAACATTACCTTGTAATAATGATGGTGGGGATGAGTTAATTTGAAGTCTAGAAAAGATTGTTATAATGTGGGTAGTACATTTAATGACAGGTAAAGTTGGAAGGAATTCTTGTGATACGTGCCATTTTTTTCCCCCTCTGATTTTGAAATTCTAGCAGTCTCCCCAAGATCTTCCAGTATGGAGAAATGTTGGGGCACTCTGTTATAAAATTTGCAGCACCTTTCCCTGAGGTTTTTAAAAAAAGTACTGGATTGGCTCTGGCTGGGTAGTTCAGTCAGTTACAGTGTCATCCCAATATGCCAAGGTTGTGGGTTTGATCCCATGAGGGCACATACGAGGATCAACCAATGAATACATAAATAAGTTGAACAACAAATCGATCAGTCTCTCTCTTTCCCCCCACCCCAACCCCACCTCCATCCCCACCCCCGGCTCAGCAGCCAGGTTTACGTTACATAATCATCTTCATATATGATTACCATTTAGTATGTTGGTTTTTACTTATTAAATCAAATGTATGAAAAGTAGCTAACATAATTCTCATGTGATGTAATTTGCTTTTTCTTTTTTTGGATTATGTGCTTTTCATGTTTTGAAAACAAAAGGGAATGGGAGGGGAGAAAGCAGGGGTGTTTGCTGAATCCTGATGGTTAAAGGTAAGTGAATGTTTAATCTCAGTCACTTGAAAATTGTTACTGTCTTTGTCAATATCTGAAAGTCAACATAGAAAAGCTTTTCAGTTGTTTTTAATGTGTATGTAAAGTTCAAGATGCTGACTTGAAACTTTCCCCTCCTCTATTCTGAACAATAGGTACGTTCTATGGATGAACTGAATCATGATTTTCAAGCACTTGCTCTGGAGGGAAGAGCGATGGGAGAGGTAAGTGAACTGGTGTGTCAGAAAAGTGGGTCTGTTTTTAAGGGAAGGCTGGAGCTGTCTTTCATCAGATGTGTCCAAATCTAGTCTCCAGAAGTATGTGCTTGCTTTTTCCTTGTTGCCATTCCTCATGATAGGAATCAAATGTTGCAGAATTTTGTTAAAACAATCTCATTATAAGAATAATGCTAATCTTAGCTTAAAGTCTTAAAAACAAAACAAAGCAACCAAAATATGAGCACAAATTATTGAATATTTACCAGTCAGTTGTAAGTTGAGGTATTACAATTTTACAAAATAATTTAATTTTATATGCATCAAATGTCCTTATCTTTGTTTCACATCCCGTTGCTTGTCGAAAGAAGACTTAGATTGGTTGCTAATCAGAGTATGTTGATAATCTATTTATAGAGCAGTGCCATTTTTGAGGAAGTTGTTTAGAGCTCCATTGTGAAGAGGAAGTTGTTAGGTTTCTGATTAAATAATTCCAGAAGTAGAGGCTGAGCCAGTCATCCCTTATTTACATAGACTTCAGAAACAAGAATTTTGGTTTGTAATGTTTAAATTTGCAAAAACAAAATTTGCTATCATCCATTACATTGGTAGGGAAGATTGCTATGATTCTAAAAGAAAGGGATGTATAGAAGAAGTAGTCAACTTCTGGTGATTCTGGTTGTTGACAATAAGAATGTATTGATGATAATGTAGAACATACAATTTGAATTGCTAAAGATGTTACAGGTTCATAAACTGGGAGTATTGACCTGTATTCTCTTGTTCTAGAGAGAGTTACCTTAGATATTTTTTCTTCTGTTTTATTTTTTGTGTATCTAATATTTAAAATTTCCCATATCTATTTTAATGTTTTAAATGAAGGGATAATAGGTGTATTCTGGATTCTTTTTATACCATTCATTAAATATGTTTGTTCTTTGATTTAGCCAATATTCTGTGATCCAGGCACTGTGCTAGGTTCTGAGGATTCAAAATTAAGATAATTTCTTTCCTGATTTATAAGAAATATTTGCAGATGTACCTTGTGGTTAGATATTAAATAGTTAAACTCTTTTGGTCCTGAGATTCTTACTTCCTTTGTTATAAGATTTGTTTGTAGCTTTTCTGAATCCTTTTGTGGTCAGAGTCCAGTGTCCTATCATTTTAAGTTCATGGCTTTTTGGTCTGTTCCTGTTTTTTTCCCTAGCACTTTAAGAGAAGATTGGTGTCATTGTGTTTCTTGTGCTTGTTTAGTATTATTGAAACAGTGCACATCAATAAACCCTACATGGATTAGGATACAAGATTTTCTAAATTAATTTCTGGAGCAAAGCTTGAACAGAGTTAATAGATATGTCTCATAATACATATAGATGGGGAAACTCCATTTATTTTCTTTTCACTTCTGTGATTCTAACCTGGTTCACTCCACCAAAAATACAATCCCAGGTTTTTAAAATCAATTACACAAAATAAAAACAGGGCCCTGTTGCTGTTTTGTAATCAAGACTTCATAATCTCTAATAGAGATTCTGAACAGAATTGACTAGAGAGTGAATTTTATTTAAATGACACTAACAGAAATACTTAAAAAATTTTTTTTGTTCAAAAATGCCTTTTTTTCTCAAGGTCTCCAAACCTCATCTTCATTTTTGTTAGAAATTCCACTTTTTGATAATATATATAGAATTCCTCAGACCTGTATCTAAACATAGGAAATAACTAAAGTGCTTTCCATCCAGCAGTACAATAGTAATAGGGTGTCACTCTTCCCTCTTTCCTAATTATTTATTCACCAAGTAATTACAACTGCTGTTTGTTAACCACCGATGATGCAGATGCTAAGGGGTTTGCATGCATTATTTCATCAATAACCCTATCTGCTATTATACAGAAAAGTAAAAAGACCAATAGAAATGAACTAATTTGCAGAGGGTCACATAACTAGTAAGTGGTGGGGCTGGGATTCCGACTTGGCTTCTTCTACAAACCATGTGACCTTAGAATAAACAAAGCCAATACTTGTAAGCTGATTGATGGTAAAAATTTCATTTTAGTAACCTTTATGAAAATTGATTTTGTGAAAGATTAAAAAATGCTTAATATACTCCCTTCTCAAAATCCAAATACTTACTGAAATTATTTTTTGAAAGCATAACCAGCGTATGCACGAAAGGGGACAAACTGTATGGAGTAAAGTTTCTGTACTCAAGGAACTTTCTTCACCTAGTTGAAGAAGCAAATGACAGAGTGCACCGTGTTTTGTATGTATGGTTTGAGTTTAGAAAAGGGAGTGATCAGTATCAGCAGGACTAATTTGTGATTACTCGAATGGAGGGGAGGCATAAGACTTGGGAATCATCTAGTGTGGTTAGGATTTGTACAGGTGCCAACTGGGAGAATAGAATGTTGGTTGGTTGTTTTGTTTTCTTCCTAGTGATAGAAGGGAGGTTGGCATAAGAGAAATAAAGGAAATGAGCTTTTGTAATAAAAATTTAAAAATGCACAGCTTCTAGTTAAACTTCGTTAAATTTCCCTTTAAGCAGTAAAACATCTCTGTGAGGCAATGTTTGTAAACATAGCCTTCATCCATATAAACACGAAAGTTTCAAGTAAATTGCATGGACTTTTAAGCTAGGCATAATATATTTTTGCTGCAGTTACTTTATTTGTATTTGTGTGTTGTGGGGGAAGAAGGGAGGGACACTTCATTAGAGTAAACAGTACTTATGTATACGAAGGTATGGATCTTTATGAGTCACAGAGAACTGGCCACATTGAAAGTAATTGATCTCTAGTAACATTCAGGCTGCTTGACTCTTGTTACTTTTTTTTCATCGAAGTCACTACAGAACTCTTGGTGTCACTTCGTAAGATTTAGAGCCTGTCTTAGTAGAAATCTTGCTGAAGAAGTGGCTTCTTAAAACATCACCCTCAAACCTTGCTGGTTGTTTGAAGTACAGTTGTTAGCTGAAGGACTAAAGAGTACAAGTGCTTTACTTCCCCCCCATTCTAGAAAGTCAGCATAAGAAGGAAGATAGGAAAATATCTCAGGATTAGGGCCACAAATTATTTTCAAATTTCATCCACTGCTTTCATTCAACTTAAAGTTCAAATTCTGAAAAATTTAGGGCACATATTTGAGTAGCTTTATTTACATATGAAAAGATTAGTCTGATAGTTGAGTATTCAAGAATGTATCTTTGTAATACTGAGGAAGGCTCACTAACCTTGGGTTTCTGAGCTCTGCTTCTGCATTGTTTTGGTTTGTGATCTTGCATGACTGGCTTGCTCCACCTGTAGGAGGGCTGCATTATTACTGTTCACGTACTAAAAGGAGTGGATTTCCAGAGAAGAGGGATTTTGGTTGGAAAGTACTTTGAGAGCCTTTGACAGAAAAGGCATTTTATTCTGCAGAGTTGGTTTTCTAACTTTTAAAAAACAAGAGCTTTTTTTTTTTTCAAGATTTCTTAATGTTTTATATGTGGTAAACTTGACATGGTAGTTTAAGGAAAGTTAAGATTGTAGTGATTATTTTTGGAGTACTCGAATGTATTTAGATGTGGCCCTTCATCTTTTGTCTTAGAAAACTGAAGCACAGAGAAATTTACCCTTGGTAATAGACAAGTTTGTACACCTGAGGAAGGAAATCTGGAAAGTGCTTCTGTATATGGAGTAATAGTGAATCCTAACATGTTCCCTGGAAGTAGAATACGGTGAGATATATTTAAAACACAGCTTTAGATTCTCATCAGACATTACATGGGAATTCTATCCACAAGTGTGAGACAGCACAGTGGTTTGTAGAGGAAGGAATTTGATAGTGATTTGGAGAGCTGGTAACCCTAAGAAAGGTATAACTTGGTGACATAGAGATCTTATTAGTCCAGAACTTTGAAGTCACAGCTTCCAGTCTGAGCTCAGACACTCATCTTGTTTTGACTTTGCTTTTTCCATTTGTGAGACAAAGTAGGACTAGATAGCTTCCCAGGATCCTTTCAAGTCTAAGATTCTTGGATTTTGCTCATACTTTTATCTTTAAAAATCTAAAAATCAGGGATAGTTCTGTTTTTTTTTTTTTTCTAGGACATTGTACAGGGTATTGAAAAGATGCCTTTTTAAGTGTCTTTGCCCTCAGGTTCCATAACTTTTCATTGGGTTCTCTAATAAAAGTTCTGCAGTTGCCTAAGACATTGAAGTGTCTGTCCACTATGGCTTGTGGGTTGGTAATTCTGAAATCAAGGCAAGGGGGAGCCTAATGTGGATACCAAGTCTGTTACAATTTTTCCCCCACATCTTTCCATCATGACAAACAGAATGGCTCATAGAATTGGAGGCCTTGGGGTAGCTAAAAGTACTTCTAGGATCTACAGCACTGCCTCACACTGGCAATTCCTTGCAATTAGAGTCTCATGAGAGGAACTGAGTTGACTCCAAAGTGGAATTTGGGAAAGGAGATATATTGTCTGCCAGCAAGATCGTGCAGTCTTTCTTGGAGATGGGAGGAAAGATTAATATTGCCTTGTGGTATATTAATAGAAAAATATCTGACCAAGCAGTGTAACAAATCATTTTCTTTCCAATATGTAGCTTTTGAGTACTGATAGGAATGGTAAACGCTGCCTAGTTCCATAACTTTGTATTAATGCCATTTGGTTGTTGGGCATTTTTTTACATCTTGCTATTAAAATGAAATGTTTACTTAGAGAAAACATAGTAAGCCAGGCCATGTGATCTGGAGAAATGTGATCCCGGTTAATAACTTCCCTGTATTAGATTAATGACTGCGTTAGGGGTGAAGTGACCTCTTCATGATTCTTGTTTGGGAAAGTTCTTGGGATCTTGAAATAGTTTCGGGATTGGAGTTGGGCATTTTGAAGAACAAGATAAGATGAAGTTGTCTCCTGACCTTGAAAGTGTGGATGCAAATGACATTTGGAACCTGCTTCCCAATTCTGTCCTGTCTCTTTGAGACCCGTGTGGAACCCGCTCATTCCAATATCTGTCTT